AAAGCTCTCCTTGCCCTCAGACACCATGTCTTCTTCCATCCAAAGCGCTCTCTCCTCGTCCAACTTCCTCCGCTCTTCCTCAAGTTGCTCTCTCCTCGTTGCTTCTCTTCTTTGGTACTCCTGTGCCTTCGCTTCCATCTCCCGTTCTAACTCCTCCCTGAGCTTTCTCTCTCTTTCCAAGTCCTCTCTCAGCTTCTCTCTCTCCCACATCAGTCTCTTCGCCTTATCAGCTTCTTGCCGCAACATCATTTCCTCTCCCTCTCCTAATCCCTGCAGATTCTCCTCTGCTTGACCCGCAGGAACGGTGCCAGGTCTCTGCACTCTCGTCAACTCCATCCTCAGTTTGTCATTCTCCCTCATTGCAATTCTTGTTTCCATGGCCATTTGCTCGTTCTGCTGCATCAGCTCGTCTACCTCTTGACGAAGACCCTCCATCTGTATGTCCCTTGCTTTGTAATTGGCTATCTCTTGTTTCATTCTTTTGTTGTCTTTGACGAGGTTGTTTATCCTGTCGCCAGTGGGGTCCTCCTTCAGCCACCGTAACTCCTCGCAATTGCTCACCGCTTCATCCAGTTGCTGACGCAGATCTCGATTCTCTCTTTCCAGGGCCCCAGTCCTCTCCTTCACCTCCTTTTCAATCTCTTCCATCACATAACCCTCCCCTGCCTCGCCCTCGATTCTTCCAACTTGCACACACAAGGCATCTCTCTCCTCTCGCAACTTCCTCATCTCAGTTGCATTCTGCTGCAGCTGTTCCTGCAGCTCAAGAACCAGCTCTGCTAGCTTCACCTGATCACTGCCCTCATTCTCTGCACGCCTTTCCCGCTTCTTTTCATCCAAACGCAACTGCAAAATCTGATTCTCTTCCCTCAGTTTGTCTGTTTGCACTGCAACGAACTGCAGTTCGTCCTCCAGTTCCCTTACTCGCTGCTCCAGCTGGGCAACATACGGACCAGATCCAACACCTGGACTGGCCCTCATATTCCCCTCTACCCCTGTCTCCTTCTCACCTCCGTCCATGATGACTGCACCCCAATCCAAAGCGTTCAAGTTCAGACCAGACTGCAGAAGTCTCTCCATCCCTTCCTTGAGCTGATCAACCTGTTTGGCGAAGCTTGCACGCAGCTCAATCATCTGGCCTTCAGTGGATTCGCGGGCACGCTCGAGCATCATGATCTCTGCTGACAGCCTGTGGGTCTTCTCCTCCAACTCCCAAGCTCTCTCTCTCTCCTCCATTCTCTTCATTTGGTTCCCTCGGACCTGGTCGATCAGTTGCTCGTTCTCCCTTCGAGTTGCGGCCATCTCCTCCCGCAAGTTGTCCACCTCTGCCATCAGGCGTCCGACCTCTGCCTCGCGGTTCTTTTCAGTGCTCTCTCGATTACTTTCAAACTCTATCCGTTTCACTTCCATTTCCTTTGCCAAAGCCTCCAGCCGCTGGTGCAACTCACTGACCTCGTCCCAAAGAGGCACCCCGCGACCATCCCAGGCCTGCCGAAGGGCAGCTTCAGAAGACAGGTTTTCTATCAATGATCTCAAGTCTGTTCCCTCCCCAACACCAGCCTCTACACCGTTCTCCCTCGACAAGACTGCCATCATCGACTGTGCTACTCTACTAGCACCCCTTTCGGAACGCCATTCCGCTGCAGAATCCATCTGCCCTCCTCTTCCCCCTTCCGTCCCTCGTCGCCGTCCTCCTCCGCCTCCACCACCACCACCACCACCACCACCACCACCACCAGAACCATAACCAACAGCAGCAACTTCGTTGTCGGCATCCAGGAGCATAGTAGACCCACCACCCTGGCGTGGCATCGCTGCTTGAGGGAATGGCCCAGTTGCAGTATAGAACTGGTTTGGACTCTCGCCAGCCCATTCTGCAATCGGGGGACGGTCCATTTGATCCACAGTCACCATCTGTCTGCACGGAGGTTCCAGAGCTGCTTTCAGTGGAGTTCTGAAAAAAAAAAACACAACAGGGCCAGATTGACGACCACAGAGGCATAGGAAACGGTGTCTTGAGGGCGAGAGGCAGGGAGAGAGCGAAAAGTAGCCAAAGCTATGCAGGGAAGAAATGCCAGAGAGGAGAAGGGAGTGAAGATTAGAGACACAAAGGGAAGATAGTGGGAGAGAGGGAAGAAGGGACAGACATTTTAACCAGCAAGAATGAGACAAATGTAAGCATCGATTAGAAGCAAGCTGAGATGACATGGCTTTGAGTGTCCCTTTCGTACTTCGAGGGTCGGAACCGCATGTAGGATATGTTGCACATACCTTAGACATCAAAACACATGGCATACATTACATATGTAAGGCCTTGAGCTTACATGCAAATTAAGGCCAGACCACTCACAAGAGACGAAAGGGGGAAGATTGCCGAAGAGGGGCGGCCCATTGCAGGGAATGAGGGGCAGAGAAGAGCAAGGCAAGGAAGGAACACAGCAGCACAACCATCACAACAGTAAAGCAACCCCTCAGGTGGGTCTGTCATGGCAACACAAGAGAAGAGCAGGTTTGCTTAGAAGTTGAAAGCCAAAAAAAAAAAAAAAGAAAAAAGAAGGAGAAACGCATTTCACTTTGTGAAAAAGCACAATGTGTAAGGCCTTACTCTCATGGCGGACACAATGTGCAAGAAAACAAAACTGAAGCAACCCTTGGCTACGTCAGCATGCCCTTGTGCCTCGTCTACTCAGGAGGCGAGGGCAGCGATAGCAGTTGTACTTTCCTTCTCTCAAAAACTCAAAAGTTTTTTGTGCATAAAAAATCATCTATTAGCCTGTTAGTAGCTGTTCCTCACCGCCCCCACCCCCCCCCACCCCCCAACAAAAAAAACTAAACAAAAGGCTGTTACCCTAGGCTACCAGAGTGGCCCGGGGTCACTTGCCCGGCCGGGCCAAAAGAAATTAAAAAATATATATATACATAAATAATATTTTTTATTTTATTTTATTTTTTTAATTTGGTAACGAGTTTCGATGTGACCCTGAGGCAAAGGTTGTTCAGTTTATTTTTTTTCTGCATAATATAGTTGTTTTTCGGATTTTTTCGAGTTCTTTTTTTTTTCTTTTTTTTTTTTTGGCTGGGACCTTCTCTGGTCGTTGCACGGGCTGGCCACCCTGGACCCGTGCGGCCCGGCTGGTAGCCTAGCTGTTAGCTTGTTAGTAGGGTTTTTTTTTGCCCCTAAAAACAGAACCTTACGGTTCTGTCTCCTTTCCATTCTGGGGAGCCTCAGTCCGGTTCCTATTCCACCGGCAAGTCAAAAACTTTACATCAGTTACACACCAACGCTCCTCCCCATTATGGTTGAGAGGCCCGAGTGGATGGCATTGATTACTTCCTTTGTGAAGGATGTACCMCCCCGAGGGATGTTTTCCAAAAAAAAAAAAAAAAGGATGTACCACCCCTCGCCCCTGCCTAAGTTAGCCTATTTGCTAAATCCTTCTGGGACTAAACTTAGACTGACGGATAAAAAACTTTTAACCCCTAAAGATTTCCTTACTTAGAGGCCTGCCCCTTTCCGTTCCTCTCAGCCTCTTGGCTGTCAGATTTATGCTATGAGACCTGGACGCGCATGGTGTGCCATTTGCTGTCCCCTTTCTAAAACCCTAAACCCTAGGAATTCGAACTTATATTCTACTGGCTGTTGTGCTAATACCCTACGCTTTTGTGTGCCCTATTCTCTTTTTTTTTAAATCTAGTGAACCGGGATCTTGACAATGCTGAGTTACCTGGCAATAGTGAACCTTAGTATAGTGAACCGTAGTATAGTGAACCTTAGTATAGTGAACCGTAGTATAGTGAACCTTAGTCTACTTCTTCTGTTCACTGTAACTTCTTTAAGGTTGATCTGTTGCTATGTGGGGTGATTAGGAGGGGAAGAGGAAAATGGGGAGGCCTGTGAGCTAGGGAAGGTTTTGTGGTTCTGAAAAGAAGGGTGTAGGTCTGTGGGCGAGAAGAGGAAATGAGAGGGTATTTGTGACAATAACGGGACTGTGTTTCAGTTGGAGGGTGCGGGTGTAGGTGGTGTTGGGTATATATGGGAAGTGTTGGTAGACGATGTGGAGAAGGTCAGGTAGTTTCCTCTTCTGCTGTGATTAGTGCGTGTGTGGGTGAGTTGGGTTGGGGTGTGGATTGGGGTGTGGGTTGTGCGTTGTTGGGGTTATGTTCTTGGTTGGTTGTTGAGGGGCCAGATTAACCAGTTAGTGAATTTTAATCCGTCTCCTTCGATTGAGCCTAATTTTGCCGCTGCCTAGCTTGGCGGTTGAGAATCTTTTAATAGTTTCTTTTTTTTTGTTAGGTAGGGTCTGGAATCTGGATGTGCTTGAGTGTTTTCTTTTCCATAGTGCATGTATTTCTGTTGTCGGTTATCTGTCTGGTGAATATTAGGGGTGTTTCTTAGGGGACGTGGTGGTCATCAAAGGTGAGGCGGCATCGCCTTTTCCATATGGCCCATAAGGTGCCCTTTCTGATCAGAGAAAAGAGGAAGAGGTTGAAACCTTTGAGTGGAGGGGATTGATCTGAGTGAAGGAATATGGTGGAGGGGTTCATGAGTATGCTTCTGTTGGATAAAGTATTCCATGAGAGTTCTATGTCTAGCCACAGCTGTTTTGCGTGCTCACAATCTAAGAAGCAGTGGTTGAGAGATTCCTCGGATTGTGTAGTACATACCTTGCACCAGATTGACTGTTCTGTTCGGCTTTCCTTACTTCTTCTCTGGGCTAGCTATTGGTTTATCAGAACTGCTATGAATGCTATGAGCCAGAGGAGGCTGGCCAGTTAGCTTGTTCGTAGTTATTGCACAGTTACGGCAAGTTTTAGCATCGTAGAAACATGATCAAGCACGTTGTAAAAGAGGACAAGGAGGAAAAATGGAGCACAGAGCTGCCCGGTAAACCATAGGCAGAGAGGGATATATATATATATATATATATCGTCAAATAGAACTGCCCGGTAAACCGTAGGCAGAGAGGGAGAAGAGGACAACAAACGAGGGGCTGTGACAAACTGTTTCGTCGGAGTTATATATATATATATATAGCCACTCCCACCACCGCCACCACGACTACTACTACTACTACGACCACCAGCACTACTACTACTACAACCACCAACACCACCACAACTACTACCACTACTATGAGGACGACGACGATGACGACTCCTACTACAGCTGCTGCTGCTGCTGCTGCTGCTGCTAGTAGTAGTACTACGAGCCGTCAACAAAGTGTTGTTTTGGTTTGGGTAGATTTCAATAGCGCCACGAATTCGAAAAGTAATAACAAGAATAGCGAGCCCACTGCCCAGTCTTTTTTTTGCCGGTGAAATCTGACCAATGGCATATTCATATGTTTCTGTGCTGTTGCTGCTGCTGCGTATTAGTAGTAGTCGTAGTAGTAGTAGTAGTAGCCGTAGGAGGAGGAGGAGGAGTACTATTACCACCAGTAGTAGTAGTAGTAGTAGTAGTAGTAGTAGTAGTAGCAGTAGTAGTAGTAGTAGGTAAGTGTGGTACTCCTGTAGAGGCAGGAAAGGGCGTTATTGAAGAGGCGGGAAACTGCAATAAAGTGAAAACATGAAAGGTGGTCTGTTTCTTGTGCCACCTGGTGACTAAGGGTCCAAACTTTTCAGTTGTGCAAAGGCCGGTACTCGTAGTGCCCAAATTTCTTCCAGAGACTGGTACGGGTCACTTTTAGGCTCGCGAAGTGCATTTTCTGGTTCATCAATTGAGTTTTGAATGAACTGGTGGCTACCACCAGTACATGGCCCCAGCCAACTGGAGAACCTGTTTTGAGCCTCTCCAAAAGTTTCGGAGGCCGAGCGCCGTAGATAAAATGAATCGGCAGTGGGCGGCCTACGAAATGGGCCCGCAGCCAATAGCTGGCATGTTCTGGTGCTTAAAGCCACCACTACCTTTCAGAGGCAAACTCAAAACGTCCTAAGAATGCAGTATAACCTATTCCGCATTCTTTTTTTTTTTTTGGGGGGGGGGGAACTGTTCCGCATTCTTTGGACACCGGGCCCCACTGGATCAAAATAGCTGGCAGTGCCAGCCAAAACAAAACAAAAAAAAAAAAACGAAAGGGAAAATTGCATCTGTACCCCACTGAAAGATCGGAATACCCACTATACCCAGTCACAGTGCCAGCTTGCACCTATACCCCGAAAACTGCTGATGGAAATTATTTGCATGCCCAGGACTGGGGGTGGACCCAGGTTGGTAAAGCAAAATTGCACAAAAGACAAAAATATTGGCCGTGTATCTTTCCATATTCTAGCGTAAGAATCACTCTCGTTTTGCACATTTCGAGAGTAGTGCAGCCAGGCCCATAACCAACTACCGGAATGCACAAATTATGGACATACCCAGGCAAAATTATGGCCATACCCGGGACTGAGGTGGACTGGCCAAATTATTCATATACCCTACTACCCGATGACTGAAATTATGCTCATACCCAACAGCCGCTGAGCGACAACAGTCCCCGTGGTGGGCATGAGCATAATTTTGTGGTCTGTCATCCAACGCCCGCCCCTGGCTGTGGACTGTGGGTACGCCAGCAATTTCGTCAGCCCGTTTCTTGGCATGGGCGTAATTTCGTTGCCCAGAACTGAGGGCCTGCGAAACTGGGTATGCCTACAATTTCGCACAGGGGAAAAGACAGGTAGTATGCAAAAAGTTGATCGGGGTCAGGGTATTGATGCAAGTTGACGCTGGGAGTGGGTATAGCGGGTATTCCCATCTTAAAGTGGGGTACAGATGCAATTTTCCCTGGTGCTTCGGCAAAGCTTGGCACGCAGAGCTTTCCCACATTGGCAAACAGAGACTCAGAGGTAGTGGTTGTTTAACAGAAAAACAGAAAAAGGCAAATCTTGATCGCAGGAAAATTCCGGCAGCAAAAGCACACATTCTTTTAATCTCTGCTGGATTTGGCTCTGTGCTCCAGAGTCGGGGGTCGGGTCCCACCTACAAAGTGATCATGTAGTTGGC